GGGTTTTGCAGGTTTTTTTGTTGTCATTAAAAGTCTGGCTATCATTATTTTGGCTGTTGTTAAAATTTATCCCAGTAAGGGACAGAATATCCAAACTTTATGCTGCAGCCTTGATTGAATCCTGCACAGAAGCTATTACAGCGCAGAATCACATCTCAGAAGTCAGTAGGAGTTTCTCGTATCTGAGGGCAGAATTTAGTGTCTTGTGCTATTCCAGGCTTGGTATTGGGCTCGTTCCTAATCATTGAGGAGGGTTCTGGTAGATGTCAAGTGAAGAGAAGAACAGAGCATGCATCCTGCACCACTCAAGCCAGACAATGAAATCAGAAAATCGCACTGAGAGCTGATGTGAGAGAATTCCCCTGGATTCATAGAAGAAGAATGAAACAAGAATGTATTGATTTAAAAAAAAAAAAAAAAAAAAAAGCAAAAAAAAAAAGCAAAATAAAGAGAGGGGAAAGAAAATAAATTAGAGAAACCCTGCCAGAATCCTCCTCAGAACCTTTTTAATAGTAAAGTCCGACATTAAAAGCTGTATTGTCTTTTTACATAAAGGCGCGTGTACTTACTGTTTCATCTTAGTTTCTGGTTCTGCATTTTTCAAATCTCTTACCGAGCATTTTGCATACATATGATGTTTGCAGTACTACCCGCTCTTATTTGAAGACTGTTTTCAGAAGTCATTATTGAACTATAGGATAAAATGGTGTAAGCATAATTACATGTTAAAGAGAATAAATATGTTCTGGTAGATAGTTAACCAGGTGAGGTTAAACAAGATAAGATGAATTCTGGTCTTTTTAGAAAACTGACGGTCTTCATTTTAAGCTACAATGTAAAGTGCTTTATCCTGAGATTAGGTATTGTGGCAGAAGCTAAAACTGCCTTTTTCCCCTAACCGTGCCAGAATACAACCTCCTTTTCTTTTTGCGCTAACAAGACTGCTTTACCACCACAGCCCACTCTAAGTAATTAAATCAATCCTTTGTACTTACCGTATTCTCCTCTAGTGACGGTACTAGATCTGATTATATGCTTCATGCATATTCAAAGTACGGCACTGACAGCTCTTTAATGAGCTCTTACTTAATCAGTACGAACAATGTTCATCTTGTTCTTTTTTTCCTCATACATTAGAGCTAGGAACAGTTAGGGAAAAAATGAAACATCCAGCATTCATTTGAAAAATATATTGTACTTTGAAAAGTGTCTAAGCTGGGGAAGTTGCATTCTGCCCTTTAAAAGTCTGATGGACAAATTGGATTACTAGTATTGGATTAAATAACAAATGGTTAGAGGAGAAATGAGAAAAGCTCGCTGTGATCACAGGCTTTAATATTTTTTGTTACTTATAAAGCTGAAGGGGTCTTTAACCAGTTATTAAAGTCAGGATTAATTTGTAATGGTCCAACTTACTAGCTTTAAAAGGGTTTTGTTGTTGTTGTTTTTTTATCAAAAACAATAGTGTAATGCATGTATTACGGAAAAAAATTCAAGTTTAAGATCTGTGGGCTATTTATAGATTTTCATCATCTTGTACCGGCTCAGATAAGGGGTTTGCGTGCATGGGATCGATTTGTTCTCCAACATGATTTTTGCTTTATTTAAATAATCTGTACAGAATTTTTTTCCCCTGAGAACAACACAGATATTTTCCCAATTTTAATTTTCAAGCATTTGTAGCAAGTCAATTAAATACTTGTTTTGCACTTGGAAAGTGGAAACAAAAACAGCCCCAGCAGCAGGGTTTTACAGAGTTAAACTGTGTTGAAGAAAGGCTTTTTCTAACTTTTTATTTAGAAATTGTAAATGTGAGTTTAGCTTGCAATATCGCTGCACTAACAACACTCAGTTTTCCCTTATTGAAAGTGTTTCATGTGTGTCCTTCCACCAAGGAAAGAAAAACCAAATGAAGTACTGCTCTAATGGTAGTGTATTTGCTGAAAAGAGTTGTTTAAATTTCTTATACATGGGAGTTCATCTTTATTTTGCTTGCCTGGGAAGAATCTGTTTCAGCTCCATGCGCAAGAATTTAAAAGCTGACGGTCAACAAATAAAATATCAGCATCGACTGCTATTAATATTGCACACATGTGTCATTTCACTGATCAAAAAGGCCTTCGCCAGGGTACAATTGGCCTTTTTCCAAATTGCAAGCTTTTTCTCAGCTTTTCCTTTTTTACTCTTTCTTCTTTTGTTGCTGCCCGGGGATTTGTGCCTATCGCAGCCAATATCACATGACCGGTGTCAGGGCATCACATGGGTCCAAAGCGAATACAAAAACAGATTAAAAATTCTGTAAAAACAATCAAGACTTTGTTAACTCACTTTTAAACCAGGCTATTCTGTGGATATTGCATGTGCTTCAGTGTCAGCGTGGAAATACCAAAATAGGCACCTGTTCAGATTTGCCTCGACAGCTCCAAGCTTTACCTAGATCTTTTCTCATTGTGTGTTGTGACTAACTTTATTTAGGAGGAATATATTAATAGAAAGAAGTTTATGTTCTTACCCTGAGATTGCACAGCATGAAATTCAAGTTCAGATCCGCCGTTGAGTCAAACTCCTTTAACATATTTCTGTCTCTTTTGCAAGGCTTACAAAATGAAATGCAGTAAGAGCTTGCATTTATAGTGGCATCTTTTAGCCAGAGATCCCAGATCACTCCAAACCCAACAAATTTAGTGTCATAAATTGATTAAAATGTTACTGTAGCCACATATATCTTGTGAGAACATTTTTCACCAGCAGTATGCCAATTTCATGTGTCACAGAATAGCCTGGTCATTCTGCAAGGATAAAAAAGGCGATCTATCCCCTTTTGCTTTCCCTCTCCCCCAAATAATTTTCAGCTACTTGCTGCATTTCAACAAAAGGTTGCTAATATTGATTATCATCTCCTTCTAAAAGCAGACCCTGTTAGATGGCCTTTGATCTGTAACTTAACAACAAAGTCTACTTATAAGTTTTAATCCTCTTTGGGGGAGTGCTGAACTGATTAATGTTATTGTAAATGCTGTGGTGTAATATTTTCTGCACAAAACCAGAAGCTGGAGGTCTTGGGGGAAAGCATTTCTACGTGACAAATTTCTTCCTTCATCACTTCATCCATCATCCAGGAGCTGGGCCCTGCTTCTTCTGCTTGGAAAAAGGCTGCAGGGCCACCCCCGCTTTAGGATGCTCTGCCCTTCCCATCTCACCACTAGCAAATTGTGCACCCTAAAAGCCCCCTTCCAAGGAACAGTTAAATCAACCAGGAGCTTCCAAGGGTGATAAGTGGATATGAGAGCCTGGCTCACATCAGAAAGAAGAACACGCCGAATAGCATAACTTTTGTCTTACTGTGTGGGTCCACCAGCTCCACCCCAAGCTGACCCACTTTCCTGATCATCTCCTTTACCTTCCCTTGTGTGGATGCACAAAGCCCACAAGCCACAGCAGGGGAAATAAAGCAGTTTGGAGAAGGCCGGTGACCTTCCCTGGCACGCAGCAGGGTCATAGCCGGGTGAGGAGGTGGCTCTCCATGCAGATCTGAGCTTGCACACTACTGTGGCATTGGGGTGTGAATGTGTGCGTGGCAGGCACATACATGCAAGCATTTCAAATGCTCCCATCCAGAAACTCAAAGCTTTCTTTTAGAGCAAAACAATATTTTTTCTGGTGTCTTTCCAGCTTCTGGTGCTGGAAATTGCTTCTCTGCAACTAGGGATCCTGTGGTTTAAGTTAATAAGATAGTTTCCCTCAGTGTACAGCACCTTGCATTAGAGATTTGAAAACCCTTTACAAACATCAAAGAATTAACTTTTAGCACCCTCGCAGGATTGGTACAGGTGATTATCTCCATATTACACACAAAGCTCTTAAATGCAGAGATCCACCCATGGTCTCCCGGTGAAGCAGTGTCAAAGCTGGGAAAAGTACTCAGAAGTCCCAGCTCATGCTTCTTTGCCACTATTCCAGGTTTCTTCCTAGGTTAATTTTAACCATAAGAAATGTATGTGTTTCATAATTCCATGAGGACCATATAGTCTTTGCTCCTCAGCTCAACTTGACAGATGAGAATGGCAGGTCACCACAGAGGTACAGTCTCCACAAAGGACTTTGATGAGATTTCTCCTAATCCCCAAGCTCAGAGAGAGTGAAATTTGGCTGAGTGACCCTACTATGTGGAAAGGACAGTCAAGAGCCTTCTGGGCACTCATCTCCCTTTCCCCCACGTGGCCTGATGGTGCAGAGGTGGTAATGTAGAGTTTTAGGGAGCCTGATACAGTACTGCCTGCAGGTGAGCTATGGAGAGTCGCGCTCCTGCCTGGAAGGCAGTGATGGACATGGGCTGGGGAAAGGGGTGCTAGTCTATGCATACACACATGGGGCCCCTTAAGCACCTGGACCCAAAAACTATTTGTATTCGTGCAGATGCTCCTCTGATTGTGGGTTGAGGAGAGGAGCAGCTCCTTCTAGCTCATCATCTGGCCTCTGGCTGTAAGCACAGAGGAGCTGAGCAGGTGCCTGTGCCCTGGCCAAGGGTTTGGGATTGCCCTCTCCTCTGCAGCTACTTTGATCCCTACCATGTCATCCTGACTGCCCTGGGTTTGCATGGGTGGAGTGGCTTTTGCCCACAAGGATTGTTTTTGTGTTTAAAGGCTTGTGGTAACCAGACATCTTTTAGCAGCAAGGTTCTTTTCATTGGGAACATATCAACAATATAGTTCTCTCGGAAGAATTTGAAAGATACAGTACTCTTTAAAAGGTGTTTATTTAGGTCAGAGTATCAGCATGATAAAGAACACTAAAATGTATGCTGAATAACGTCTGCTTGCAAAGATTTATTTATGGAACAAGCAGCATTGAGCTGCAGGACTTATAGTTGTATTTTATGATTTGAGGGTACACCTTGTAATGCTCAGTGATATTGGAGACTGATACTCCAAAACCTGAAATGAAATATGGAGCTAAATTTGTGAAATGCCATGTAAGTAATGAAATTCTTCCAATTGCAGGAAGAAACACAGAAGAAGAAGAATCTATGATGCAAGAGTGGTTCATGCTGGTTAATAAGAAGAATGCCTTAATAAGACGAATGAACCAGCTTTCTCTTCTGTAAGTATGGATGGACACATGTATTTACAAAAGGATGATTTACTGGAACATTTACCCATCAGATAGATGCAAAACTTTTTTGCTCTCTTCCCATTAGATTTCAGAAATGTTCCCTCAAAAGTGAGTAGCGTGGATGCTTTGTGGAACACATCGAGTAACTTGTTTTTCTCATATTTCAGACTTGAAAATGAGAAGCACACAATGACAAAAGATTAGCCAGAGCTGTGAAAAAAAATAGTTAAAGAAATGTTAAGCACAGTTACATTTTCGAAGGCCCGACAGTAGAATAAAATTACATTTTAGTAATGCGCAAATAGATCTGGATTGTGCCTCGGATGTGACAGGCAAAGACTATTCTGAGAGAGAGAGCAAAATTTGAGTTGCTACGTGCTTTCTAGAAATCCTCAATCCCATCGCTAGTTCAGCAGCACAGGACTGCTGAAAGGATATTAGTGAATCAGTCATGGTGCAGTGATACCACCGATACTGCAAAGTAAGGACAAATAAACTTTTCGCTAGTGCTGGCAAGGAAGGGAGCAGACGCTGCTCGTTTTTAGAAGCGTTCAGCCCTCAGCGCTTCTTTCCCAGCTTGTTTCAGTTTGATTATATTTCTTTCAGTAATGCCACCTAGTGTAGATGCCTGCATACTTCCCTGGCAAGAGCCTGTGCTCACGAATTTCCCACCGTGTCTGAACTTGACAGAAGATTCCACCTTCAAAATATTAAGCTTTCTAATCCCGTGTCTAATTTTCATTATTCATTAGGGCAGAATGTATATAGGATAATACTTCCAGTCCCATACTATCTTGGTGAATAGGCTGATGCTGAAATATGTTCATTAGATCCAGGGAGATGTTTTATACTTAGGACATTCCACAACAGCCGCTGCGAGGATGAATATGAAATAATTGCGACCTGTAGCACAATAGAGTTAAACTGGCAGAATTAAAGCTGACATTATGAAAAGGCCCTCTTACTGAATATATGCCACCTGTGCAAGGTTTTAAGTTTGTGTATCATTTGTTTGGAGTAGCTTAAAGTTAAAGAGAAAAGTCGGTTATGAGTCCTAAAATCAATGTAAGTTAAAGGTTCTTTTAAGTGTTTAATGATTTAGTAATTAACATATTGATGAACTTTTGCAACTTGCCTAGGGAAAAAGAACATGACCTAGAAAGGCGCTATGAACTGCTAGGGAGCTAAGAGCAATGCTTGCTATTGAAGGTAAGAGCAACGCTGGGTACTGAGGGAAGGAAAATGCTTGCTGCCAAAGGTGGCTACTTGAAAGTACCAAACATGGAGGCTTTTCTGAAGCCTGGTTAAGAATACATGCATCATTTCGAGTGATAGCACACAGCAAATACGCTGGGTCCGTGATCCCATTCTTCAGTTTTATTCAGGGGAGAAAGAAAAAATCCAAGATATGGGACAAAGAAACATGATCTCTTTGGAATAAACTTTGAAAAAAAGTGATGAGGAAGTAATTAATATTTGTCCAGAGTTTATTATATTTTGTTGCAGTAATGGTCTCCAGGTTTTCCCATGGCATTGCGCTGCTTTGGGTGCTGCAGAAAATGGAAGGGGTGACCCACAGAAGGGAGTTTCCTTCCTTTTAACGTTTCAGATCTGGTTTACAACAGTATCTCACTGGGGAAAAAAAGTCTCATTGGTTTTGGTGGTAAAACACTATATTTGCCAAGTAAATATTTCATCACAAGCAACACCAGGATTAGTGCGATCCTGTGCACAGATTTTCTCCCTTCTCTGCAACTCTCCCGAGTTTAGTCACCTTACCTGAATGAAAACTCATGGGAAGATTGACACACGGGATAAATGAAACAATTGCATCCTTTCCATAGGGCTTTCAAGTGAATTGTACAATAATCCTGGGGATGATTCATAATAAAAAATAAACATCCAGATAGCTTAAACCATTGCTTGCGTTATTTTCTTATTTAAATATCTTAAGTGTTTTCTAATGCTGCACCGCTTATACCTCTCAGTCACAAATGCTGTCTTATAGTTCAAACATGTTTGCTTAAAAGTTAATCCTCTGGGCTCTGTAAAATGGACCTTTTGTCTAATCAATGCAAATTGATTTTGCTATTCTGTATTGACCTCTCAACCCTTTGACTGTCCATGGTAATTTCTTTCTTCACCTGATAAGGTACCTGATCCATAATAAATCAATTCTAATTAGTTTGGAGACTTTGCTGGGAGCATAAGTTTGTAGGAAAAAAAGCAGCAGGTTTCAGGTGGCTTTTTCATATCTCTCCATGTGTGGTTACATTTTTTGCATAAGACTATGTTCACTATATTCTTGGATAAAGTGGAGTCATAAATATATGCATTGCTTTCTGCAGAGACAAGCCAGATTAATTGGGAAACGTATTAATGAAATATTTAAAACATAAAATATTCTAAAATCAGAGAGGAGCTAAGAGATACTAGATTTAAATCCAAAATTTCTGTGTTTAATTGCCTCTCATCTGTTTTACTATCTTGGAACATCCTAGCAGCAGCCTTTGAATGTCTAGCAGCCTATGCCATTCACACGTTGACTTGAGCAAAAATATGTCAATTTTAATTTCCTTTTCTAAGTTCAGAGAGAGATGCCAAAACCCAGACAGATCCTCTTTTTTTTTTTTCTTTTTTTTTTTTTTCTTTTTTTTTTTTAATGCTACTGGTGATATGGTAAACGGGTTTAGGAAGAAAACACAAGTGCTGGAGAATTTGGGTTTTGTTTTTTATTTATACAACAAAGTCTGTGTTCAGCATTTTAACCCTCAATAAGATTATTAGTCTGCTAGAAGTTTTAGCAGCTATCTGCTTTTACCTAAAAAACATATTAAAGGAGAAACTCTCCCAAGAAAATGCCTGTGAAATGTCAAAATGTGCGTTTGTGACACCTTGCCTCTCGATGTGTGCGTCAGCACTGTATCGCTTTCTGTGTCTGACATACAGTGGGGTGCCAAGGTGCACCTTTGGGAAGCACCAGCAAACCCACACCATTTAGAATATGATTTCCCTGAAGAAGCATGGGCTGCCCGAACAGCCCGGCACTGTCTGCTCTGGGTCCATCTAACCAATTGCTAATGAGCACTGGAACTCCGTGAAAGAGTTGAAAAGACAGATCTCGCTTTTACTAGCACCAGTTCCAAGCCTGAAATATATAACAGGACGGGACTGGTTTGTCTGTCTAAAAGAAAAGCAGAATGCAGTAACCCAGACTGGAACTTAAAAAAAAAAAAAAAAAGTCTTTGAAAGGTGATAATTACTGTTTTGGTAAATTGCTCTAACTCTTCCACGCGTGACTGTGCTGTTTAAAAATCTATCAACCGATTTACTTAGCTAGTTGATGATGGGCGGGGGGGGGAAGGAAGAAAAAAAAAATGAGAGCCTTGCAAAAGGTAGCAGCCTGCTGATCGGAGATAAAGGCGGTTTATTGGCGGCTGGCCTGCCCTGCCTGCGCAGGCAGCGTGTGGGCAGCGCTGGCGTCTGGAGGTGCTGACCGTTATAATGTTCAGTGATGTGGAGACAGTGTCCTCTTAGCCAACCGCTAAAATGGAGGCATCGGCAGCTGAATAGCCTTTTGGAGTGTTTGCGGCACTTCACGCGGAACACATGAATGACCGAGGGTGGTAAAAAAAGGCATACTCCCCCCCCCACCCCGTTTAGCCGTAGAGATAAGAAAGAGAGAGTTAACGCGGTGCCTTCTTCCAGCTAGAAAGTGTTCCTCTCTTTCCACTGCCGAGACTGCGCTGACCGAGAAAGGCCTGAAATCCTTGCCTAATAGGCCAAAGAAAATATAGGTTACTGGGTTTGTTTTAATGCGCACACGTGGGAAGGCACTTTGGCTGTCTGTTTGGGAGCCAGCCCGCTCATGTAAACAAGGCGCTGCATTTCTGAACCTGATTTTCACCACGTCCGTGGGCGAGTGGCGGGATGCCTTACTTTCAGCTACCTTTGCGCTCGCTCCTTTCTTTTTTTTCATTTGAGATTTAATGCCTCCTTAGAAAAGATAAGTTCATTTTTGCACACCTTGGGGTGGTGTGTTCATTTTCTACCCAAGAAATGGATCTTCTTTCGGATTTTGTACATCTTGATTTATTCTTGGCTTATAGTTTGAAGTGGGTGCTCTTCTAAAAGGATTTATGCATAGGTTCACTATTTTTGTAGTTATGGTTTATATGATAAGCTTTTTATATTTAAAATCAATATGTAATCCTGTGGAGGAGCTTATCCTCTAAAACCCCATTTGTAAATCTATTTTAGCTTTGTTACACCGCGCAGCCACAGTATTCCATAGATTGATTAGGTTCAGCAGCAGAATCCTATCAAATGGCCTGCTCTGATGATGCAAACTCTTTCAGGATTGCTAGTTGACTGGAACTAAAGATAAGACCTGACTGCAATCCCCCAATGTGCTCTTTACAAAACTAGTGTTAATTTTCATCAAAGTGCCGGGCTTATTTATTATAGTGGCGAGGTTGAAGGTTTTACTACGAGAACTTTCGACCATTTCTATTAAAGCATTTCTATGGGAACCAGCCGCCTGTTTGCTCAAAGTAATTATCAGTTGAAGCAGTAGGGGAAAAAAAAAAAAAAAGACAATATGAAGTCAATGAAGATTAATAATTGAAAACATTTCTACTTTAACGTGAATTTAGCAAACTCTGTCATTTTAAACTGCCCGTTGCCCGTGGTGGCACGGGAGGCTTTAGCTTTCAACACTTTTAGCTCATATACAGCCTCAGAGCTTAATCCTATTTTTGTCCGGAGTGTAGCTTTTATAACAGTATTATTCTGAAATCTTCAAATTAATCACAGCCCATATTGTAGCTTCCCAGAGCTGCAGTCAGCCTGGGTAACTATATGTGACAGGTGTTATAGGTAATCCTAGCTTAAAAGGCACAACAGGTAGGAATCAAACTTGGATGCAGTTGCTTTTTTAAACATAGGGATGCTTCCCAAAACTGCTGCCTGGCAGTATTTTGTTGGATAAAACAAAATTGCAATGTAATCGCATATAAAATGTTATTTAAATACTTTGCGTCAGTTCCTCTTTTAACCAACTGCTACTTGACTGTATTTATTTATGGAAGGAGAAAGGCAGAATCCTTCTCTAGGAAACAAAGTAAAAATGGAAGGGAATATTTCTGCCAGCAGGTTCTCCCATGATGTATTTCCAACACTAATAATAAGCAAACACAGAAACAAAAAAAAAAAAAGTTTTGTTCCATGAAGTCCTAATATGACGTTATTTACCCCACAGGGCTACAAGATAGGGCAACAAAAACCATAGCTCTTAGAAAGGGACTGAACAGAGAAAAATAGTAGTGAAGGAGTGAGTGAAACCTGTACTGAAATATTTTGACTGACATTTGCTGTTTCAAAAGCTAAAATTGCCGCTGAAACTGGAGAAGGAGGGGGTGAAGGAAAAAAAAAGGCTTTACAAATAAGAGTTTTTTAACTAAGTGAAAACCATAAAAATTGCAAAATAATTAAATTGAGTCCAGATAGAGACAGGGGTTTTCAGGTCCTTTTTTCATCCAGAGCTTCATGTACCCAGATATGCCGGGGAGCCCGAGTCTCAGCGTAATTATCAGCAAAAGCCAGGGAAAAGTTAACCTGAAAGTTGGGGGACGTATCTGGGGGCAACAAGCACCCGTGAAATTCTCTGCCCTCTCTCCTCCTTTTCTGGCGGGCTCACCACTGTTGCCCTCCGCAAGGCAGTTTTGTCAAGCTGAGATTGCATTGCTTGTGCCAGGGCTTTATTTCTGTGGGTAAAACCGGAGGGTTTTGGGAAGCTCTGACTCGCAGAGGTGCAGAGCGGTGTGTTCTAAACAGGTCGAACTGAAGGAGCCTTCCCCAAAAGGAGCAAAAGGGCAAGCAGCGGTGGAAATCGAAAGACTGCCTTGAAAATTAGCACCTGAAAAGCTGTTTCCCAAATTAAAGCAGCTTTGTCACCGGAGAAATGGTTTAGATTACCAGTAATTTTGGCTGGTAGTTTCAATTCCAATCTGTATACACCTGGAAAATTATTTCCTTGACAACGGTGGAGAGGAAGAAACACACTTGAAAAAGAGAAAAAGGAAAATGAAAATAAAAAGTAAAAGAAAAAGGAAAAGGAAAAAGAAAAGGAGGAGGAAAAGAAAGAGAACGAGAAAAACTCCTGGGAAGTTTCGGCGGTGCCCTGCCAGGCCGATGCTCCAGGAAGGACTTGTGCTGCTGCACCGAATCCCTCCCCGCTTGCAAGATGCCGCTGCGCCTGTTCGCCTCTCCCAAGTGTGCCGTGGGTTTCCCTGCGTGAGCGTGGACCCGTAACTCGCTCTTGGGCCCGTGTGCCCAGGCGGAAGGCAAAGGTGCGATCAAAGTGGTTGCACATTCTTGCCTTTCTGCCACTCTTCCAACCTTTATTGCATGATGATGCATCTAATTTTTAATTTGTAAATACAAGGCTGAATTCCCTCTAGCACCACTTGCTTTCATAAAGCTTCTGAGCAGTTTGCTGTCTTGAATAAATTTGGCTTTGGAGGGGGGTCAGGGGGATTTGAACCACCGCATTCTTGCGGGGTTTGTGAAGATTCACATGGTAACCGGTGGCGAGCATTGTTCCGGTTATCTGAATAAGCACCAGCCATGTGAGTTTTAACATGATCGCCCAGGGCAATGGAGAGCGGGGAGAAAGCCGAAAGGACTGCACCCTCTCCCCTCCACCTGCGGGCAGCGCGGCCGGGAAGGAGGAGGAGGAAGAGGAGGAGGAGGAGGACGACACGGCCGGGCCGGTGGTGATGGCTTCTCCCGGTGGTTTGGGGTTTTTTTTGGAGCC